CAGAGCTTTTTATCGTACGCTTCAATTTTGTAAAGTGCTAATCTCGAGATAAATACTGATAATTATGGTTATTACTTGATCTGGACCATTATCGTATAATCACGAATTCGACTTTTGAAGGGTCATTGACTTCTATATTTGAGCTGAAGGCAGAAAGTAGAATAATAATCATATAATTGTAGGCAGATATCACAGTTTAACACGCAAACCCCCAACAAGCATCAAATCCAAGTGCACGCCTGTTTGGCCCCTACTCAACTCTCTCTCTCTCTCTCTCTCTCTCTCTCTCTCTCTCTCTCTCTCTCTCTCTCTCTCTCAGCTATATTGGTCCAGGGGACTGAAAATGATTTTCAAGAAGCTCTACGAGAATCTGTAGTGGTTATGCTCTCATTCTCTTTATTTTTATCTTTTGCAACATGATCCCCTCTAACCTCAATTCATGGCTCCGCCACTAGTGACAAAAGCCAATAATCAAGCCCACAAATCTCACCAACCCATAATTTGTAACTGCACCATTATTATTGCCTATAATGGCAAAAAAAAGGTGACTAATACTTTCAAAAGCCACTAAAGAAAAGGTGACTATTGCTGATTTTGTGTGTGTTGTAGTGCTCTAACCAGCAACCCTGTCCAAATGAAACAAAGCATGTACGTACATAGCTGCCTTAACTATCTTGCTTACTAACTTAGTTTGGATAATTAAATCATAAACGGTGTCCGACATATAAGATCTTGATCTGTACCATTTAGACAATCTTGTCCTGTTAAAAAAAGCATAGTGGTCCAACTAGTTTTGTTCTATTGTTAGAAAACCAATTGATGGTGATGGATCAACTACTTGACTGGAACCAAGTAAAACAATATTTTAGAATTAACTTACGATGATTAAACTGTTGAAATGACATTCGTTTGGAATCTATTCCGTCATCTATATAATTAGTTCGGTGCTTTTGAGGCTGCCGGCTGCCAAGTGCCCATGTGCACCTGAAGAGAAGGAGAAGTATTGTTAGGTCTTTTTCTCATGCCGTACGTACAACGGCCAGACAAAATATCTCCCTGGTCGGCGTGAGAGAAAGAGATAACCACCCTTTTATGAGCTTTTTGATTTTTGGTGTCAAGTGTGTGTGAACACCAGCACCAACATAAAATGGTGTCAATTGAGCAGTTTTTAACTACATTTTAGGCTCTTTTTAGAAGAAGCAACAATTATGATATTTTGTGATTCACTGGAAAGGGCAAAACAGTATTATCCCCATTTCACACTGCATGTCTAGAGCCTCACTTTAGGATGCTTCCAAAGTATGCGTTAGCCCCCACAATCCAATCATCATCTTTCTAAGATGAAGGTAAAAATAACTGATGAGTTATATATATACTTTTATTAAGGGATTCTTCAAATAATTTTATTTAAGGGACACTCTTTAGGGTACCCTATGAATTTTTTTCCAACAATCCAAATCGTCTATTTTTTCAATCTACATTCATAGATCATCCTTGCAAAAAATTAGACAAATCGAAAACTGTTTTAACATCCAATTGTATTATACAAAATCACTGAACATGGTGCTTCAAGAAAGTATTAAAATTTTAATAACACAATTGAGTGGTCAAACTATATCAGATTCAAGTGATTTTTGTGTGGAGATAATCTTTGAACGATTATCTAAAACATAGACGGTTTGGATTAGTGAAATACAATGCGAAATGGGTCCTACAAGAGTGTCCCTCAAGTTAGTGAAGTAAAGTATGGCAGCTATATACATTGTCATATGTATGAATAAGCATTGATCATAAATAATTAAAATACGACATCACAGCATCTTGCATTAATTAGTGCTAGAAAATGAACACATTTGTGTTTGTCTTCTTTCAGCTCTTTTATTTACTTTCTTTAGATCTAAATGGTTTGCCCTGCCGACAATCATCAGCCTATCCTTCTGCTTGGGAGAAAAAGCTAACTCAAAATTAATGAAGATGCACTTATACAAAGCTTTCATTCGCATTCATAATGGATAAGAATTGTAAAGATTCGGAAGCATTCACACTTGAACACAAACACTTCTTTGGTTTGGACTAATTAAGGACTGGAGTTTGTGATTTGACATTTGGGTGGATGTATTATGCATAGGTTTTGGATGCTTTTAAAAAATAAGTACAATTACTAGAAGACAAGAAGAAGAAAAAAGTCTCCCATAGATACTTTCTTATTTTGTTTTGGTGTGAAGTGTGAACGGTACTCCATAACACAACAGAGAATAATTATTTAGAGTTTTTTTTCAAGTTAATGTAGGTTTGTCTACGTGTGATGCTTAATGGCTACACATGTTGTACGTTATACAATATTTGTTGTTCATGTGTTATGTTGAAATTTCGCCATACATATGTAGGATATGCAAAGATGTGAAGAAATATCTCACATCGTAAAGTTAAGAAACATAACATAGACTTACTTCCATATTGTTAATTGATTATAATTAAAACTTCAATTCCTTTAAAAATACAAAGAATAAATAGTATGCACATATTACGTCACATGTCATTATAATGTTTCATATTTATTCATATTATAAAACTTGTACAATTATATTATTAATTACTTTCGGGCTTCACTACTAAAGTGCTAACCAAAAGTTTATTTTTTATTTTTTATTTTGGTGGTCTGGAAGGCAGCGAATAGTTGGTTGCAGAAAACGAAGCCAAATATGTGGGACCCACGAAATCTATCTCGAGTGAGTTTGCATCCATCAAAGCACACTTGGGTACGTTTACTTACCTGTTGTTGACTGACAAAAAGGGTTGAATATTTGATTCTGAGCCTTTTTGCGACGGTCAAACTGTGCCACAAAAAGTGGAAAAAGCATCGTATTGTGACGCTTTTGGACGCGTCGCAATAAAAGGCGTCGTAAATTATCTGGATCTTTTTACGACGCTTTAAAGCCATTGTAATACCTATTTGCATTGGTCTTGCAATGGCAAACTAGTATCGCAATAAACTATCATGATGAATTGGGGTTTTACGACAGTGTTTGCGACGCTAATTCCTATCGCAAAAGTTCATAATGAAATGGCTTTGTTTAGTCCAAATGATAATTTTTATTATTTAATATTATAAAAAACACTGTATCTTAACTTACATGCTCGTTCACAAATGCTAATGGGATGATTGTTTCAATTGGCATATAAAGTAAACTATGATTTAACAGTTGAATTTACTATAAAAGCTTATTCTCAGTGGTACTATATCCTCATCAAAGCCAACATAAACTTCATTCATGTAATTGAAAGCATTGTTGAATACATTCACTTTACAGAAACCAATAATTATAAATCTAAAAAACCCAAGTCATGATGTGTAAAAAATTCCTACAGATACAATGAAAATATTACAAATTCAAGTTGCCAAATAAATATGAGTGGTGATTTCCCCACTCCTATTTCTCCTATTTTATCCACTTACACTCCTTTTTTATAACTAAAAAAGGAGTGTAAGTGGATAAAATAGGAGTGGGGAAATCATTACCCATAAATATACTCCAAAATAGTATATTAGTTTTGTACTTAGCCTAATTCTTTACCCCAACTTGAAAATCAATCACAAAACCATCAATAAAATGAATGAGAAACATAAAGTAATATGCTAATATGAAAAACAATTACAAAGTCATCATTGTGAACAAAAAAAGAACAAACATACAACATAATTAACTTGAATAACAGGAAGCAATATGCCAATTTGGGGTAGAGATTTATTCTTTTCTTTTTCCTTTTGGGATTGTATAACGATCATCAATCTTATAGGCTTTGAATATCAAACAAAAAAGTGCAAGGAAAGCAGCCGAAAGCTGGGACCAGCTTCAACCATTATATATAAGGCCATGTACAATGCCCTGGTGTTTGTCTTTAAGTTCTCACTTTGTGATTCCAAACTTAACTATTCTTAGCACTATGCCAAGTTTAGGCAAATAATACCACTTCCAATGTAGCATGACAATTTTTAACATGCAGTTCATAAAACTTAACTATTCTTAGCACTATGCCAAGATTAGGCAAATAATACCACTTCCAATGTAGCATGACAATTTTTAACATGCAGTTCATAATATATATATTCATAATGCATCACTAAAATAATAAAAAATCTCAAACCATTCACCAAATTGAAACACAGAGAAAGAGAGATGAATCTGAAAAAAGAAAAGAAATCAAAACAAATTTATCCATATCAGATGCTGGGAAGGATTGATTGAAGTGAAGTTTCATGTTCAATGGGTTGGGAAAGTCGTGTAAACATGAAAGCATACAAGCAAAATACAACAATAGTTATAACTAACTACCCACAATTCAACCTATTTGGTGTTGTCTAAAGTAAAATGTAGCATAGTGCAAAGACAAGGCATTGTGGTAGTGATTATAGAATACTACCATAGTATTCTATAATCACTTAATTAAATTGACCCATACTAATTAATCGTATTATATGATGGTTGAAGTTTCAAAGAAAAAATTGTTGAAGTTTTATCTTTGAGCTATCTCCCGAACCGCTCCATGCCCACTTGTTTCTCTTTCGACCTGTACCGTCTTTCTTTTTCTCACCTTTGTTATGGTCATCAAATATGTGTTATCAATTTTGTCCAAGACTACATTGGAAAATGATAATGAACTACATCATGATAATGTTCTTTCCAGGCCTTCAATGGTGTCTAATGTACAAAGTAATTACTATCTGCACTCATACCCAACAAAGAAAAGGGGAAGCAAAAAATTTTAAGATTTACTCATCTCAGTGTACATAAGAATGATGAAGAGAGAGCCAAAACCCTCTTGGCCATTTATAAATACATATAAGCAGCCTCCCCCACTCCCCAACATTCTCGTATCATTTTTGTAACCATATCTAAACACCTTTTCAGCTCTCCATTACCTACAGATTGTGCAAGAGTCTCGGCCGCTATATCATTTCATCAATTGAACATCCTCATTTGAGGAACATGAGGTCAAGCTCACGCTGCATTATTTAGCTGGAGGGTCAATTTTATGTTCATAGCTGCTAACTCAGCTGCTAAATATTTGAAGACATAAGGCATTGCAACAGTCTCCATCCCTCTACTCGTCTGACAAGCATGGCAAATGACCTTCTTTGAGGCTCTTATGGGCGGCAGTCCCTTAACTGCACGTCCAACCCGTCTTTCTGGCTTGACGAATGAGGTCGTTAGGATGCTTCCACATATAGAACATACATCAGCAATGTGATAATCGGAACACGTATGAAGCCTGTCGTGCAACAGATATGCTGCCCCATGGGCAAGCATAGAGTCTCGCTCCATTTCACCAAAACGTATACCACCACCTCTTTTTCGTCCCTTGATAGGCTGGTGGGTGATCTGGTCTATCGTTCCAGTGGAACGAACCTGCATGCAGAATTGGAGTGTCACATGTGAGGCAACCAATAATCGAAAATGGAACTCTGAAAAAATCTTAAAACTTCATGTGGTTAAAAATCTGAGTTGGTGATTTCTTACCTGATATTTGTCTGAAACCATATGTCGTAGGCGTTGATAATAAACAGGACCCATAAAGATCTCACATGTGAGTTCTGTCCCATAGACCCCGCTGTACATTACCTCTGTACCATGGTAGTTAAACCCTTTAACCTTTAACATTTCCCCAAGTTCATCAACAAGTGTTTTCGATTGTGGTGGAGTCTCTTCATTAACATTCTTTGAATTAGCAAATGGTGTTGCATCAACATATTTTCCATGTAAGCTACCTCCCTGTGACAAGAAACATGCAAGCATATAAACGGACATCTTCTGATATTCTAATGAAGAAAAACAAATCTAAAATATGGCATACAAGGGGAAGAAAATGTAGACTCGAGATGAATTCCAGAGTAATTTGATCTTTTGATGACCAGTTAATGGAAAACTATTTTTTTTGGTGCTTCCGCCTTACACAAAATCAGAAAATAGCACACTTTACAACATCTACCACTACGACCCTACATATCATGTATGAGAGAAACAGGAAGCATCAAAATATAAATTTATGCCCGTACAATTACTAAACCAAAACTCTATTATGACAAAAAATAAAAAAAACTAAGACTATAACCCAAAATATATATATATATATATATATATATAAAATATATTGTTCGTTCCGCTGAAAATTCACAAAAATCCTGTTATCTGTATTTCCCTTTCCGGAAACTTGATGCCAATCAAGATTCATTTTCCTAAAGTCCTATTTAAACATTACCAAATCCCAAATTACCTTTAAAGCACCTTATCACTGCTACCTTACAACAGTCCGAATCACTACAGACAAGAACATCTGTGCTTTGTCTACAGGGGTGCACTGGCTGTGCATTTTTAAAATAACTTTAACATCATAAAAATGAATTCTTTAGGTGCTAGTACCTTTGCAGCGACTGATTCCAAGAGCATTGCTATTGTCATCCTTGAGGGGAATGCATGTGGATTGATGATAAGATCTGGACGCATTCCTGTAACCCCAGAAAATGGCATATCAACATCAGGCCACAACTGGGAGCAAACACCCTTTTGTCCATGTCGGCTGCTAAATTTATCACCAATGATAGGGTTTCTAGGGTGTCGAAAGCGTATGCTCGCCTGCTCAAAAAAGAAAATAGAAATCAATACAATTCAGGAAAAATAAAAAACGAATAGTATAATGAGCAAATCTGGGATAAATTTTGTTAACAAAGATTAACCTATAGTTCTCATGATAACTAGGAAGATTCAAGATGAAAAATATTACAGTTGGATGTTCAAGTCACCTGCAATGCTTGATATATTTCAGAAAACATTAGGAAACGAAATGGAACAAATTACTCTCAGCTTGTTTGTTTATAAATACCAAGCATATACAGATAGATTTGTTTCAGAGCAAGTATAGCTCTTAACAATCACATTAAATGAAGCCAAAACAATTAACTGTAGAGAGGGCGAGTCTTTCCTCAGTTTGGGTACACAGAAATGATGAAAAATAATAGAAAAGAGTGGGGACATAACCCTTAAACCAAATTTCCCCAACTATACACGGGTTGAAGACTGGAGTACAATAGTCTGGAAGAAAACTGACACTTGAAATGTCATCTAAATCACAAACCAAATAATGAAAATCTGCATGAACGTAAGTTCACTCTCTTTTCTGTAGTGGCGAGCAAAAATGGTGCAGAACTGTGGGCAAAAGACTAAATGCCCCTACTACGCACATAAAAAATGGTGCAAAATTCAATATATTCAAACTTTCAAATTCAGTGTCCAAGAACCAAAATTAGGAACCAGAATAAAGGTTGTCCACTTACCTTCTGAAGAAGCTTCTTCCCATCAATAGCAACATAGTCAACGATAACAGGCTCTGAACCTTTGTGTTTGATGGATCTTGACTCATTTGTCACCTCATTATGAATGCTATACAATTCTTCATTGGGTTTTATTGTCTGAAATTCCACATAGAATAGGATCAGTATACACATATGTACATATATGAACATATATAGGAACCTTCAGTTGCAGGAGCCAACTGTGCACATGTACAACTACATATAAAGTATTATTCAATTACCCGGACGTTAGCGTCCGGATTTTGTTTTGACACAAACACCGGTCACCAAGCAGAGGAGGCCAATCAACCGACCCTTGTAGCTTCTGGCTGCTGCCAAGTTTTTATCAATCTATTCCATTTTATTATTGCCTACACTACAAAGTTGCTTTAGTAATTTCCGTACAAGCTTAGATTTTCTGTTTTAACTATCGGGTGTTCTCCTCCACCCAAAACCCAAAATTTAAAACCTAAAACCTAAGCAAACAATTATCCAAGGAGAAAATTTATGTTTTATGTTTGTGTATATTATCGGCAAAACCAGAAATCACTTGGGCACTTAATTACCATCACAACCATTTCATTTTTATCAATGGACTGAGTTTTTCTATACGGTTTCCGATTTGTCTATTTTTTTTTTCAGGGATCAAAATTGAGGAGGTATCTAAAGGATGATGGCTTTGGATCATCAAACTACATTATTGAGTAAACGGTATATCTATATCATCTCCAATTTTCGGTGATCCCAACTATCTGGGTTCGACATGATACAGAACAAGAAACACAGAGAAGAAAATAAAATTCCAGAAACGAATGCTAACCTGACCAACATAAGGAAGACCATCTGAATCGATCGAGGAATTCTTATTGATGTTACTTCTCCTAAAAAATTTCCGTGATCTATCTGACCTGCTCTTTTGATCAGACAAGTCAATTGTTTCTGTCTGAAAAAAACCATTATTAGGTGAGCAAGGGTATAAGTTAAAGAACAAGAAAACCACAACCATCAGTACAGACATTGACTTGGTATCAAGAAAAAAAAACAGATGAATATGAAGGAACTTCTAATAAAATTCCTGAAATTGCTCTGTAAAAATGACTTTCAACAGTTAATATAGGGCACAACCATAAGTGCACATATACGAAATGCATAGGGCAACATGAATACAGGATTTTTCTAATACTCCAATTTATCAGACATGAAAGTTCGTCATGCTCTGCCTTTTCTTAACACATGAATACCGTATTTAAAAATTTAGGTCTAGCCTCCAATTTACTAGCTGAGTGATATTTAAGCATGAACATAACCACTAACTACCATGACCAAAACAAAACCTACAGTATACTGATCCCATGAGGCACCTCAAAACAAATTAATAAAAAGCAGAACATAATGCATACACTTGTAGGGAACTTCTAGTGGCATTTTAAGTAACAAAGAAGAAAGACTATTTATAGTAGCATCATAATACTGCCCGAAATAAAACCTGATAAATTAGTCCATGAAACATTCCACGATCCACAGATGACTTGTTTAAAATCATGGCATCCTCCATATCATACCTAGGTGTCATAAGAAAAAAAAAGGCAACTAATAAATGGTAAAAAAGAAAAGAAACAACTACAAATAAGCTTTATGCATCTAAATTTCTCACCCAGTATATGACAGTACAGCAACGATTGCATTTGTGCCTGTTGGATATTCATCAATGCAGTACTTCTTATATGCACTTGTACGTACAATGGGAGACTGAGGAGTCTGAGAATGCCCAAGTTTCCATTATAACAATGAACAGTGTGAGGGGAAAAAAAAAGCATTAAAAAAGCATGATGAACAGACGATAACTATAAAATAGTAATCAATTTAAATAAGAGAATTTGTCACTTCTATAAGGGCGCATGTCTCCCTTGCACAAGGAAGGTGCAGAGGCTAGAAAACATTCACCATGCACCGACATTCATCAAGGGATGAAAAGACAGAAACTATGTACTAGTGAATGAAGTTTATTTAAATAAGAGAATTTGTCACTTCTACAACAAGTTTGGTCACATGCTTCCCTTGCACAAAAAGGTACACACACTAGAATATATTAACCATGAACCAACATTCATCCAGAGATGAACAGACAATTATGATGTAGTAGTGCATGAAGCCCACTTAAACAAGTGAGTTGCCACTTCTACAACAATATTAACTCAGAGTCCCCACAATGAAATATTGGCAGGATAGAGCAGAAATTGTACAGGACCAGTCAAAGATTTAGTAGCGTGAACACAAAAAGAGACCATAATAAGATTGATAAGACAATTAATCACTGCGCAGTCCCTGACCAACTACGCGTTCATATATGAACTCAGTAACTTAAATTATCTCATATGATTTTGTACATACAATGAAATAACAAGATAAAAAGGAACCAACCTTAAGATGATACAGCTTTTGATCTGCACGATTGCAAAGTGCTTGTAAAGAGAAGGCCATTGTTTGTTTTGCCATCTATATAATTCAAAGACAAATAGAATGTAACAAATTGAGAGTAAGCAGATTCCAAAATATAGCAAGAGCTTTATACAACATAGAGCTTCCATTCAACAATGACCAAGGACAGACAGGAGGGTAAAACTAATAAGAACCTGACACTGGTACATATTTCGTGGGCTCTGATTATGATCTGACCAAGGTGTAAGACTAGCGACGACACTGAGCATTCCTGTTGGATGAATTTCTTCATGAGTTGCAGGGAAAGCATCCTTCCTTCCACCATCTCGACCATCAGGACATCTTATTTCCATGAAAACCTAATGTCGCACATAGAAAACAGTTAGTCATATTATTGGTGCCCTAGCTGTAGCAATCAGGAAATGTACAAGATAATTGTTATCAAGGCAGGAAATACCTGTTCAAAGGGCCCAATAAGTTCAATATTTTTGACCTTCATCAACAAAAAAAAAAAAAAAAAAAAAAAAAAAAAAAAAAAAAAAAAAAAAAAAAAAAAAAAAAAAAAAAAAAAAAAAAAAAAAAAAAAAAAAAAAAAAAAAAAAAAAAAAAAAAAAAAAAAAAAAAAAAAAAAAAAAAAAAAAAAAAAAAAAAAAAAAAAAAAAAAAAAAAAAAAAAAAAAAAAAAAAAAAAAAAAAAAAAAAAAAAAAAAAAAAAAAAAAAAAAAAAAAAAAAAAAAAAAAAAAAAAAAAAAAAAAAAAAAAAAAAAAAAAAAAAAAAAAAAAAAAAAAAAAAAAAAAAAAAAAAAAAAAAAAAAAAAAAAAAAAAAAAAAAAAAAAAAAAAAAAAAAAAAAAAAAAAAAAAAAAAAAAAAAAAAAAAAAAAAAAAAAAAAAAAAGGAGTTCTAAATTTCAGCTAAACTCTAGGCAGGACACTAACATAAAAAGTTTGAGTACAGCTGCTGGTTTGTCGGTCAGAAGATTGATTTTGGTTTGGATATCCATATGGAAATGATCTGTACGACTCGTCCTTGATCCCTCCCAATCAGTTCAATTCTCAACAGGTTGGTCTTCATTCAATTTTTAATCATCTATGCTATTTTCCTTGTCTAAGATTTTTAGTCTTCTTTTGTTTTTTCCATATGGTGTCCATGTTATATGGAAGTAGATGTTAGATAGGACATTCAATTATGAAGCAACGGAACAATGTGTAGAAATGTCCCAAAACTTTAGCAGCGACTTCCAATCCGACTAGGAGATCTCTTCAAATATGCATCCTAATGTGTGGCGTGCAAGGCTTGCGTGCGCCTTCACGTTCATTTTTTTATTGCGAGATGTATAACCATTGGGCCGTATAAGTGAAGGGAATTAACGTAGTTTCCATTGGTATTTCAACTGTTACTCCAAAAATTAATTAAACAGTGAGTGAAGATGCACAAAGTGTGAAAAAAAAAGTATAGGACACGCAAATTGCACATTCAAATGTGTTTAAGAATTGTAAGTCGGAGCTTCACACGGAACACAAACTTCTCGATTTGGCTAATAATTTAGGATGGATGGAGTTGTGATTTGACATTGTTTGGGTGGATATACTCAACCAAGTGATCTGTGGGGATGTTAGGGTTAATTTCAAGGGACCATGAGCCCCACGTTGTGGCTTTATGCCTCTTTCAATCTCATCTTCATCATTCTCACTTGTATTTTTCCTTTTATATTCTAGCACATAAAATAAAAACTATAAAATAAAAACAAATGATATCAAACCAATTTTAAGATATCATCATTAATTGTTAATCTTTGTAAGCTTTAAAATTACAGTTCAGTTGGAGTAAAAAGGGGGGGTTTTTTTGTTTTTTTTTGTGTGGAAGGCAAGCCAAAATTTTGGGACCCACAAAATCTTTTGCATCCATTATGATGAAAGCCCACAACTTGGTGTCTTAAGCACTAAAAGGGTTAAGACTGTAAAGATTCGGAAGGTACGCACTCCCCTGGACACAACACTTTGTTGATGGATTAAGACCGGAATTAGTGATTTGCATCGTACCATTAGGAAATTCTTGTCCTCGGTGTTGAAGCAATTGTGTTATTATTAAAAAAAGCCTAGGGGTCACTGGTTCCAAATAAATTTTTAAATGAAAGCACTGTTGTATTGTTAGGAACACAGAATGAGGCCCCCTAACCTCATTACTGACGCCGCGTTTAGTGACAAAAGCCAATAGTTCAGTCTCATTAAATCCTCATCAATTCCGCATTTGGTGTATCTGCACCTTTATTATTGCCTATAATCACCAAAAAACAGTTTTTATACCTTTAAAAATTCACTAAAGAAAAGGGTGGCCTTGGTGATTTTTTTGTTTGGATTGTAGTGCTCTAACCAACCACACCTCGGCTTAGCAAATAGAAAACAAAGAATGAAGCTAGCTGCGTAACTATCTTGCTTACAACTTAGTTTGAATAATCAATCATAAATGGGTCTGACATATCAGACCATGACGTACCATTTAGACAATCTTGTACTGTTTAAAAACGCATAGTGGCCAACTATTTGAAGAAGCCACTAGTTTTTTGTTCTATGGTTAGAAACAACTGATGGTGATGGATCAAAACTACCTTAATCTGGAACCACGGGAAACAATATTTTAGAATTAACTTAAGATATTAAACTGTGAAATGATATTGGAAG